TCCACTCAGGCCAATGAAAGCCCCTATGGAAGTATTTTTCGGGAGAGGTAATGAGATTTGTGTGTGTTGTATACATGTTGAAGTAAGGAGGAGGTATGGGTAAGATGTTAAATAACCAGTTTCTGTGAAGCACCTATTTGATGATTACCTTTCAGCTTAGTGTATTACTTCAGTTTGTTGGTCCAGAGTTTTAATTTGTCATCTTGTTCCTTATTTAACTTGTCTATGTCTTGTATCTTTAATATTTTCTGTTCATAATTGATCTATGCATAGTTGATCTATTCACATATTTTCTCTAGTACCTCGCTGCTTATAGTCTCTTCTGCTTCCATGTAATAAATACACTAAGCAACCCCGAGCTGATATTAGACATTCTAAATCTCTACTCTTTTTCTTATGGTATAATGAAAATGGGCTATTTATTTTCTTCATATTCCTTTTGTCGTGGAACACTTGACAACAATCTGTCTCCCTTGTACTTTGATAGTCTCTTGTGAGACTTTCAAATGGTACTAATAAGCCAGTTCTTCATCTAGTGTGTTGGCATACTGAAAGAATTCTAGATAAGACCATTTTTCTTTCAGAGGCCCTGATATTTACACTTAGTCATATGATTTGCTAAAAATTTCAAACTAGATTTATGTGGTATCAAGTGAAGGAATTTTTTGGCTTATCTCAGGAAACTGAAGTCTACCTAACTGCAAATCTGAATTACCATTTTGCAGTCCTTCGGAATAATACTCTTGCTTAATGAGAGTATGCATGATTTTCTTAATAGTTCAGCTATTTCACTGCTAAATTCTTTCCATTAGCTCATGATGGATGTTCTGTTTTATTTAGAAGAATGAGCATTGCATTCATTAGGCAAACTTCATTAAATTTGGAGCTCAATCAACCAGAACTATAATTATATGGAGAGGAAACTTCCTAATCTGACATTTGTAAAACTGAGCCTTTTTGGAATTGGTTGTTATCTTATGTGACATGACTAGCTGAGCTTTTGTATTGAACAGAGGCAGACCCTGGGAGGAGTGCCTTCAGCTAGCAGAAGTGTTATTTTCTATTATAGTTTAATTGTTTTATAGCCTTTTTTCACCACAATGAGACATCTGCTCCCTCTATTTGTGGAGCAATAATAGACTGCTTGAGGTGGTAGCAAGAAGTGTATACTTTAAACTGTTATCTCATTATTTAGGGTTACTTTATGGTGCTTCAAATGATACCTTCTGCAGTTTAATTCCAGGAAGGTTATCCCCTTGTCCTTTAAGGCAAAATTTATGGATCTTGCCATGGCCGTGAAAGGAAAAAAAAGAATGTTCTCTATTATGAATGGAAAATTATTTCACTTTGTGACTTTAGATGAATGGTTTCTGTCTGTATCAGTAGGGGGAAGTACCACTGCCTATGCATTTCTACTTTGCCTACTCTACTTTGCCTTGCTGGTAGTGCAGTACATTTTAAGATGAAGACAGCTATTACAATGTCACTGCTTGTTTTGGTCAAGTTGTAGATACAGATTCAGTGGAAGCTCTTACTTAAGAATAAATTAAGAATGACATCCTTTCTACATTGTCCCTGAAGAAAGATGCTGAGAGCAATGAATTAATTTTACTCTCTGACCAAACATAACGTAGGCACAAATGGTTTTAAGTTGTACTTATGTTGTAGTATGGAGCAGCCAAGGTGTTACATGAGTATTGTCCTGAGTGTTGCATTATGTTCAGTTCTGCCCTGTATTCTTGTAGGCACAAGACTTCTGAGTATGAATTCTGCATTTTGGACTCTTCCGCCTCAAAACCCACGAGGAGGGAATTAACTTGCTTCCAGTTACCTGATTGACACTAAAGGAAGAAGACTAGGCAGACAATCTGTTCCAAAATTTAGACTTGTCATCTCTTGACCTTTTGGAAATGAGTTCAGCCAAAAGGATTTGAAAATGCAAAGATTGTTCCTTCAAGTCTTCCTCATGGAAGAGGTATTCATGTGTAGAAAAAATTAAAATAACTCAAGTTTGGTTGAAAAAGCCTGCTTATATGAAAAAAGAAAAACTAATAATTTATTATAGGTTGGGATGTGTATACTATCCTTAGGAGATTGGGATAAAAAACAGTTGGGCTGTCACATGGAATCTAGAAATTATAACCATACTGATCTGTGCCTCAGGAACAAGTGCCCATCACTGCTTAGGGAAGAGGCACGTGAGAGAAGGGGCTTTTCTTAGTAGTTTTGTCGGACACTCATGGTTCTAGGAAAGATAAACATAAAAGGTGAAAGAAAGGAATGTAAAGGCAGACAGAGGGAGGGCTTGAACAAAATTTTAGAGTACAGCCCAGACAAAAATTTCAGAGTGTGAGCCTATGCCTTTAATTGACTCTTAGGGACAAAAATGCCTAACAAGTTGGTTTTATTGAGCTCTGTTTGTTTCTGTGGATGCAAACAATGTTGAAGGATCTGGTGTGAAACGGGTTGTGGGCAATTCCTTTTGGGGACCACTGGTTTAGGTGAGATCTCTTATATGGGGTTGAGGGCTCACTTTTGATACAGTGATAGTGAAAGAAAATTTCTTGTCTGCACTTGGCGAAGTTGTATTGATCAATCATTATGGGATGCACTGGGGAAACTATGAACATTTTTGCTTAGCTCTGGAGAGGGCTCTGTTCTGTTCTCTCTGAATTCATCTATTGGATTTGTGAGATGGCAAAAGTTATGTGCTTTTTCATTTCCTTGGCCCTTTTGCCATAGTTCTGTGCAGAGAACCATGTGAAAAAGATTGTTTAAATTTGTGTTTTTGAAGATACTTTCTTGAGATCTGGCAAGTACAAAATACATTTAGTTTTGATCCAAAGTCTTGCTCCCAACATATTACTCTCCCATGTTGTGGACACTGGATCTGAGATCTAGAAAACTGTGGCAGATTGTACCATGGTGTCTGAAGTTCTTTGGAGTAGGTGTGGGAGGTAGGGTGGCCAGCAATGACACACCAGTTCATTTCCATGCAATGTGTTCTCCACATCCCATGCCAGTTAAAGAATACAAGAGCTTACTGATGTGATTACCACTGTGTTTAAGTTGAAACGTTTTTACTTTTTGAAACTATTGCAAGAGGAACTTTCAGGATTTCCCAAGACTTAGGTATCCCTCTTCATTCAAAGACTTTGTGTATATGAAAGTTTTATCAATGTGGTTTAAATAAAGGAACAGAAATTACTTTGAGTGTGTTGTGGAAGCATTGTATCTTGTCTTGGAAGATCTTGGAAGATAACACATTCCAACTTTGTTAAAAAATACTTTGTCAGCTAGTACTGAAGGTAATCCTTGTGTCATGGTCTTATTTGCATATTTTTGAAGTGATAAATTAGATAACTGTGACATTATGCTTTTGAAAAGGTGCAAAGTTAAGTGCAGTGCAGTGCTGTGGCTCCACTTTAGCACAAGCAGTGGAATTTGGCTGAAGGCATTAAACCTTACAGTACTAAAGCACCACAGTGAATTCATTTCCTGAGAGTTATAGGTATGGCTGGTGGACAATTTGTCAAAGGATTTGTCTTTTAATTAATCTTGCAAAAGGCAGCATGTCCCAATATGTACTTGAATTTCCTTAACAAACACCACCAACTTTAGGCTTTCCAAATCTAATTGAAATTAAAAGAAACAGATGCATGGCTATTCTTTAAAAATTAGTTGTTGGTTACTTTGTCATGGATACTGTTGTGTTTAATTTTTGTTATTTGGGGAAAGAAGTCCCTGAAAATGGAGTTAAGTCGTTTAGATGTGCGAAAGAACCCAGTGGGGGTGATGGCTTCATTCACTTACTGTTGAGGGGAAAAAAATATAGCTCTAACCATGTGAAAAGCAGAAATGGATGAATAAAAACTACCAAACAGGAACACTGTGTTGTAGAGATTCCCATTATGGGTGGAAAGCACATTAAAAGAACCCTAAAATTTACTTGTTAGGACACTAGTGTCATTAAATTGCTAATCAGAGTTATTGCACTGGTTTATAGATTACAGGTATGAGCAGTGAAATTTGGCTATTTTGTTGGTGCACAGGAAGTTTTATGCACTCCATGAAAACAGATAACCCGTGATAATTTTTGCTTTCCTCTAGAAACCAAGATTTGTGCCTATGGAGGGCAGCAGCTTGGGTTGGGATGGCCCCAGGAGGCCAGGGCTATCATGGGCCATGGCTCACCACCTCTCATCTCTTGCACAGACCGATGAGTCACTCATCAATCAGCTCTAAATTGCTGCTGTTTCAAGTGAATGGCATTTTAGCTTAAAGCACCATTGATTTTTATTTGGCTTTCAATGCTCCACTTGAAGTGGTGACAGTTGAGAAATCCATTAGTGGCGCATAGCGTGTGTCCCTGCAGACGCTGAGGGGAACATCTTGGGACTGCGGCTTTGGCAGCCTCGCCAGGCCAGCGCTTCCCTGCTCATCAGTCCGTGCTTTTCAATCATTAGCTAGCATCCATAATTGCAAAACTTTGAATATTTCAGAAGTAAATGTTGGGAAATGCAAGGCATTACTGCAAGTACTGATTACTATATCTTGCATATGCATTTTTTTCCCCCCCTTAGTAATGCTTCTGTCCTAGAATTGCTAGGAAGCTGAATGTCTTTCTGTCCTTTTGGTTTTTTGTGGGTTTTTGGTTTTTTGGGGTTTTTTTGAGTGTTTTTTGGTTGGTTTTTTTTGGGTCAAAGTACAGTTGCTCAAGTTCAAGTTAGGAAAGCAGATGAAAAGGGATCTTTTTTCCATCTTTAGTATTCTTTTCTCTCCAGAAGCCAAATTGTGCCAGAGGATTGATACTTTAAAAGAGAAGTGGGAATCCTCTTATGTACCTGCTAATTCCTTGTTAGTTTTGATTATTCTTTGTGCTGACACCTTTGTAGTAACTTTGCTTTGCTAGTGCTTGGGTTATTTTCTCATATTTGTGATGTTTAAGAAAAGTAGTGAAATAGTCACTTGTAATAGAAACCCTTCTTTTTTGCACGTAGGAAACTCACAAATGGGTGCTACCATAGTAGATGCATTGGATACTCTATATATCATGGGCCTTCACGATGAATTCAGAGAAGGACAAGAATGGATTGACAAAAATCTTGATTTCAGTGTGGTGAGTAGAGCCTACCCTAATATTTCTCTAATCCTTTTCACAGTGCTCATTTTGGGGGGAGACAGAAGAGATCTTTCAGATGAAGCTTAATAAAACTTACGGATCTAAGTGTCAGATGTAAACTTTAGTGACATTCTCTGTATATCTAACTTTGTTTTAGGAAAAAAATATATACCCTGACCCTTTCACACTTAGAAGTGTAAGTAAAGATACTTAGATATATTGTATTTTCAAAGTGCAAATTGTAATTGGATAACAGAAGTAAGGGGAAGTGTTTTGTAAGAAACAGCCAGGCCTCAGAAATGAAGACAGAAAGACAAGGTTTTACTGGCTGATAGTTGTTGCAAATAACTGAAAGACAATTTTCCCCCAGACTATGGTGTAACAATTATTTAAGAATATAATCTTGTCTCTTCTTCCATTTCTTAAGAGTTTTAACATAAAGTATGTCACTTGAATTCCTGAGGTTTCCTACAGGCTCTTAATCTATCACAAGAATTTCCCAGTTGGTCATACAGCATCTGACATTCTTGGGAGTTTGGAAGCATTAAATGGAAGAAATGGCTCTATTTTAGTCTTATTGATTAGTGTTCTTAGTACTAAATTTGGGACTGTCACAGATTCTGTGATGGAATTTGTATTTCAGTCTTTGGATTTGCCCTATGGTTCCAAAAATAATTTTTCATTCAGTAAATGCACATAATGAAATATTGTACTCAGAATTCAGCAAATGCTTACTGTTTCTGTATTTTAACCTACTTTTCAAAACTTATTTGTTTGGGCTTTTTCCTTTTGATTTATACCTTGACTGTCTGGCAAACATCAAAGAAACTTTACTCTGCTTTTTCAGTTAGTGCCAGATAATTATTCTGTCTAAAACTGAAGATCCTAAATATATCAGACAGTGCAGACATAATGATACCATTATGAGGGTGAACTAAATTGCTTCCATAACTTTTGTCTGATCTAAGGCAATTTCAATATAAATTTGCAATATTAATCTAGGATTTGGATGGAAGAAATTTACATGACCCTCTGGGGTTCAATTACATCTTCCTATGTATCAAAAACCATTTCTGAAGGTTAATGAGTTGTCTTGTGTATACACCAAACTTGAGTAATTTTCTTATATGATTTGGAACTTATAAATAAATACATAAATTTGATCCTCTTGGATTCTTCTACTGGGAAATGGAAATCATTGGTTATACTTTACACTGTCCCACTGCATGTGTGATTCATGACTTTAATAGGTATTAAGTGGAATCATGCTGTATTGGTGTTATTTTTCTTGTATCAGCTCTATGTGAAAAGAGAAGGCCTTTTACTAAAAGCATTTGGGAGTATTTCAGACTTCCAATCAGTGCTGTTTGAAGAAATCCTTATTTACATAATCTTTCTGAAATATGTAATATGTGCAAAATACATTTAGTTTTGATCCAAGCACTGCAGGTGCCATAAAAATAGCACGAAAGGAAAGACGTACCTGTAAATGTCATTTCAGCTGTGTGCAGATTGGTGAGTCAGCTTGTTCACTGCATGTTGCAGTGACTTTTCAGGATAAAAGGAAAAGTCTTACCTATCTCAAAATCTCTTAATAAAACTACATTTCTGTGTCAGAATATAGGTTGAAGAGAAGTTTATGGGGGAGACAGATGGCGTGCATGTGGAAAATTAAGTGAATGGGGCACAGAGGGAGTCAGTTGTTAAAACTATCTGGTTCCTCTTAATTTTTGGGGGGTTAAATGAGTCAAAAGATACTGTTGAATTTAACCTAAGGATAATAGTGTGGAAGAAGGCAATAAAATGGTTTATTCTTTTGAGTTTCTCAGTAGTCCTGCAGTACTACTTGTCATAACATAAAGGCTATTCCGAGACAAAAATTATGTTAAAATAGAGCTCTGAATTTGATTTTAGTAATTCAGGTTACAAAAGTGCATTATGGGAATTTTCTAATTATTATTTTGTTTTATCTTTTAAACCTTGAAGGTTTGGTGTTATGCTGAAGCATAAGAGAGAAGATGCTGAATTTTAGAAATGTACAGTCCTTGCCTTCTTTCCCACCAGCCTCAAATTACTGTAATTGCACTTTGTGGTGATAAAATGGTTAGAGGGCAGGAGAAAAACTAATTTGATTTTAATAAAATCGATTGAAGCTGTAACTAGAATTGTCATTTGGTGTCACAAAGATGTGCACGAGAATTTGAGTTTGGATCTAGACACTGCAACAGTACAGACCCTTGCATGTGGATTGCCTTAGGATATGTACTTTCTTCTGCCTTGAAAATTCTTTTTCTTCCTTGATTAAGGAGTTGGTTAATTATTTATTAATGCTTTCTTTCTGTTCTAGAATTCTGAAGTGTCTGTTTTTGAGGTCAATATTCGCTTCATTGGCGGTCTTCTAGCAGCATACTACCTTTCAGGACAAGAGGTAAGGAGATTGGAAGGTGTCTAAAATTCAGTGTGTTCCGGCAAATGTGGCATATGAAGGCTTTTCTAAAATCTTGACTTCTCAGTAGCTTGCAAACTAATCTCACAGCAGTCAGTTGTCCAAAATAACATAATTCTTAAGTGTATGGAATCTTTAAAATTTGTTTCTGAGTAGATCTTGTGCCATTTAGGACACTTGGTTACAGTTTAGAAATGCTTCTTTTATCAAGATGTTTTCAGAAGTTATCCACTCAAATAAGCATCAGCTTGAAATGTCAAGTGAAATGTCAACCTTCTCATGCCAACAATAACTTGTTTTGATACTCTGCAACTTCATGAAGGTAGAAATAGTATCTTTGTCACTTTTCCTGCGAGGCTGTAGGATTGCTTCATCCAAGTGCTACTCAGTCTTCTTACCATTTTCTCAGTGACAAACTGAGAAATAACAAGCCAATTTTATACAACTTCTGAAACTTCTGTTAAAAAAGATACAGAGACATGCTTAGATTGACAGGATGCATGTCCTCAAAGACTTGCAACAATGGACTTCCTTAGTCCAGTAGTCACAGTGCTGTGACCTCTTACTTCACATACTTCAACAAGACTAGAGCTTGACCCCCAGCACTTCCCATGTCTTAGGAGCTACCTGTCTTTAATCTATTGCCTGTGTCTTTGATTCTTTGGTTTTGTCCTTTATTTTTCACGACCCTTCTGTAGCCCACTACCAGACATATTTTGTGGCTTAAGACTTTCAGGTGTTCTTAAATATTTTCTTCCTTTGTTTAGGGAAGCACCACATACATACCAACAAGTTCTCAGGGATTTTAAGACTGCAGTCCTAAAGGCAACCCAGAGAAAACGCATAATTTGTTGTCTCTTTCTTTGGCATCATCCTGGCATCTGTGAATTTTCTCTTTTGTGAGCATCTTCTCTTAGGAAGAAGAGCTCAGTGGCAAAGCAAAATTCCTGTGTATATGTTGAAAGAAATGGGTGGTTTATTTTTCATCCAGTGTCCCTGCTTCACTTTCTTCAAACTGGAACATGCATCCTTGGAGACATCTACTGTGGTTATGAAAAACCTCAGAGAAGAAGCAAGGATGATACATTCATAGCTGGATTATTTGTATAGGTTGATACTGCACTTTTGCACAAACCCCTTAAAAGGAACTTCTTTTGCCCCAGTATGCAGATGGGTGCAGCCAAACACTGCCAAAATGTATTTTTTGCCTGCATTTGTAAAGCAGAGTATTCCTTCTTAAATTTGCTTCTAACTTCTTGGTAGAGTCAGAACAAGCTCCTTTGCTTAAATAGCTTTATTTTCTTTCCTTCTTAGAAAGCATCTACCCTTTCTTTCCTAAATGTTGGCTAGGCTGAGTCTTTTGTTTTCAAAATTTTTATGGCATCATTCTCTCCAACAGACTTCAAATGCTGTATGACTTGTGATACAGGATTATTCCCGTCAAATGTCCATATGTATCATCTTTATTTTCCTAAAGAACTGCTAAAAAAAGTGCTCAGACTGCATTTCTTTCAAAATAGTGTGGCAGCTAGGATTGCTTTGGGTATCTTGAGAGACTGCTCCATTTGCCAAGTTGGATGGGGTTTCTCTTCAATTTGTCACTGTGGATATGACAAGCAAGGAATTTTGAGGCTCTTCAGCAACTGAGCCCAGGAGAGACACCTGTGTCTGGGAGCTCCTTGGAGTTGGAAACAGGTTGCTTGAGATGTGACTTCCAATCTGGTCCTCTCTCTTCCCTAAGAAGGGAACATATTCCTTAGCTCAGGATTGGGGCATGCTTGATTTCTTTATTCACTGCATCCAGACATGTGAGGAGACACTTTCTGGCCTTGCTAAGACAGACAAGCCTGTTCCCAGCCATTTGGGTGTTCTGCCTGATCAGGTTGTGAACATTGCACCTTTAAGAGACACCTTACTGTCTCTTGGTAGGTATCCTTTCTTTGTTCATCAAGCCATCATTTACTTGATCATATTCACTTACCACACCTTGTTGATACTCCAGCTACTATCTTCCTACCTCCAAGCCTCCCTCTTCTAAAAGACTTGCTAGATTGGTTTTAAAAGGTTTTCATACTGATTTTCCATACTTCTGCATGTCTTGTTTGATGTATTTAAAGTAAGGTCTAGTACAATGAACTGCTGCTTTGAATTAATTCCATTTTTCTCCTTTTAATAAATACAGATTCTGCTTAGGTCTGCAACAGGAGTTACTGCTGTTTGGTGATATTTACAAAAGCTGTTCTTACTTCATTTTGACTCCTGTCACTTAGTGTTGATAAAGATCTGTAGAGACAACCATAAAACAGTGTCCAAGACTCAACATCAGCTGTGGAACTTTAATAATTTGTAAATGGCCACGTCTGGAGAATTTTATAGTCATTGTGGTTTATCTGCCCTTTGTGGGGAGAGGGTAACTGTCCTTGATAGGATTTTATCTGATTGATTCATAATGGTAGCTATTGATCATAGTTTTCAGGTATGGCAGATTATTAATTTAGATTAAATAGTCCTTTTAAATGCTTTTATTGAAAACATGTCAGGTTTTAAAGTTTATTTAGCATGTCTAGTGGCACGACTCTGTGGCTTCCATGCTGTATTTAAACTGTCATGTTACTACTGTTACTTGGAGGAGCATCAACTGAGATCATGGTTTTAATAATGCTGATTATAGCTAATGGTAGGATTTTAAGCCTTTTGTATTAAGATTGTGAGTATTCCTGTCCTTTTATCAGTAAGGGTTCCCTCTTACTCACTGCAGTGAATGGGTGAATAATGAAATATGTCTCCCATACAACCAAAAATAAAGTTGCTGTTTTTAGCAGCTGACAGCTTGGCTGAAAATGCTGTAGGGCTTGTCCTGTCCAGTGTTGAGTCACAGGCCTTTCTTTGTGAAACACTGACGCGTGTAAATTTTTTAACAGCTCAGCCTTTCACATGTGGGAATTTCTGCTGGACTTTCATGAGTGATGAGCATGTAAAGCTAAAGCTTGAGAAGGATGCATTTTGCTGCAAGTGTCATGGTTGTCTTGCCTCACTGTACCTTTCTGCTAAAGTAGGGAGACAAAATTGTTTTCCTGTCTAACAGGCAATTCTCCTGATGTGTGAAAGGTCACTATCTTTCTCCATTTTTCCAATCTCAGCATGCCTTTTGAGTAAAAGATAATCAAGATAGAACTGCAAACCTTGACACAGAGGAAAATTTGCCCATGTATTCTGTTTCAGTCTTCTGAAGTTGAAACAACACTGATACCTCTCTGGTGGCAGAGGTTGTAGGTGTGTAGTCGGGGGGGGCCTTGTTTAAATCCTCTGTACAGTATGTTTCTCCTGGCTGGTTGTGGACAGGCCATCTGGTGTCTGGCTAGGTGTGTTATCAGCTAAAATAGTGTGCCTTTGTCTCATTTCCCACAGAGAAATGAGGTCTCAATCTGTCATTGATTTTGAAATTCTTGGAGGCAATGGCTTTTCTCCAGGGGACATTATTGGAATATATAATGAATATACGTTAAAACAGTGAAATACAGAATCATAGAATGGTTTGGGTTGGAAGGGACCTTTAAAGATCATCTAGAACAAGCCCCCTGCCATAGGAAGGGACAGCTTTCAACAGCCACGTTACTCAGAGCCCTCTCTGATCTGGCCTTGAACACTGCCAGGGATGATGTGTTCACAGCTTCCCTGGGCAGTACAACCTTGTTACCCTCATTATAACATATACCTTCCTGATAGGGCCCTAAGAGGGGTTTGAGCTGCCTGATCTGGTGGAATATGTCCCTGCCCATGGCAGGGGTTGGAACAGGATGATCTTTAAGGGTCTCTTCTAACCTAAACAGTTCTGTGATAATATCCACTCTAAACCTACCCTCTTTCAGTTTTAAAACAGTTGTCCCTCCTCCTGTCATTAAAGGCCATAGTAGAAAGTCCTCTTGATCTCTCTTGGAAGCTAGGGCCCGCTATAGGTGCTGGAAGGTGCTTGTAAGGTCCCTCTGGAGCCTTCTCTTCTCCAGGCTGAACAACCTCAGCTCTTAGCTTGCCTTCAAAGGAGATGTGCTTCAGCCCTTGGATCATTTTTGTGACCATCCTCTGGACCTGCTCCAACAAGTCCACAATCTTCTTTTATTGGGACCTCAGAGCTGCAAATGGTATTAGGGTCCTCAGTATAAGTGGGGGGTTTAGTGTATTTCTTTTGAAATTACACTGCCAAACTAAATAAAGGGAAGGGTGGACCAGATAATCCCCTGTGGTCCCTTCTAATCTGACCAATTCTGTGAAACAATAAGAGGCTCAATAAAAAATGAAGGAAAAAAGCATGATCTCTCCTGGGAGTGCTATGTGTCATAAAATAATGGAATTATCAAGTTTGGAAAGACCTTGACAAGAGTTCAGCCTCTCCAGGCAGACTCTCTTGTATTTTACTGTATGTCAGAGATTTCCCCCAGTTCCAGTAAGCAACCAATGCGAAGTGTTCACTCATTTTGTATGCTAATAGGTATAATCTCTTAAGTGCCTAAATAGCTAAAGAAGAAATGCATAATTCATTGTTCCTATATTCAGTAAGGAGCCACTAATTAAATATTTTTGAGGTATAGAGTTTGAGAGTTGCTTAGTAGAATTGTGAGTGACTGGGACATATACTATGAAAACTAGGCACTGCTTTCTACCCCAGGTTGTGATAGAATGGGTAACATTTATATTTTACATTTTGATCAAACAGAATTGTAGTTAAAGTGTGTGAACTACCAGTTTTCTACCTTGTGAGTTGAGAGGCACCACTGTGCTTTCCCCTTAGCATCTGTCAAATAGAATTAACAGTCCAAAATAACATATTGTTGGTGAAATATATAATGAATTCTTATCTAAATTGAGCCAGACTGTTTCTCAGTAATCCCTGCAACAATCCTTTAATTTCTTTACGAACTACATACAATCTTCATTATGCTTGTGGGGTGGGGGTGGGGGACAACACTATGATACAGCTGATAATG